ATGTTAAACTTCCAAAGAAGAAGACATTATAAAGGTATGTCCGGTAAGGTTGATTTTATTGTTTCTCATTGTTAGTTTCAACATATGCGTTTGATAACTCTTTTTATTATAAAATCAAATTTTTTGTTTCTGAGTTCTTGTTTCAATTTTTTTTAAATATAAATAAAAGTATTATTTTATCATTCTGGACTATAATAAATATTGAAAAGTTAAATTTTATATAACAATAAATAATTGCTTTTGGTTTTATAAAAAAACTTCATACCAATAGAAATATTGTTCCTCACATATATATTTATGATGTTTTCCTTCATCTAATCGAGTTGCAAAATAACGATTATCAAATGAAGTTGGTTGGAGATATATGTCAATTACCGCTGAGCTAAGCTCGTTTTGACAGTTTTCATCCAATTAAATTTTAAGCAAATATTTCAAGAAATTACCCCATTTTTCTCAAAACACTTTAAACACTATTCAGATCAAAAGGATGCATTTTGGTTCCATCTTCCTTTTATTTATCTTTCTTTTATTTTCTCGACAAAAAAAAATTGAAAATGTCTTTGCCACATCAAAAGATATTAAAAAAAATCATTAATTTCTATTATAAAACGTGTGTATATATATATATATATCCCAAACCACCTAGGAATTAGGATTCACCTAACTTGCCTAGTGAGCTCTCCTTTGGGCCACAACGTAGACCCAATGGTTGCTTGTTGGGCCCAAATGGGATTTGGCCCTTCTCAAGGCCCATATACTCCTAGCCCAAACTTTTTTTGACCCAATATTTGTGATTGCTTTCTCATGTGTTTTTCTCCATTTCTTTTAGTAACTCAATGAGGAGTTATTTAAAGAAGTATTCAACCGATTAGCTGCCTATGTTAGGCTAAAAATTAAATCTTAGCTGCGACATCTTTCGTCGCCCGTTGACTACACCAGATCAAGTTACATTGCACCAAAAATTTGATTGTTCGACTATTAATAATGGACTTGAAGAGATAGAAGATGATCGATAGACAATATAGATATGCTTCTTAAAAGTTATAAGAAAAAAGTAAAACCTAACCAATCACAGTAGAAACATTCAACAATTAATTATTGCAAATTCATTTTCTGGAACAACCTAGTAACATTCTAGGGATCATGAATTCAAAAGTCAAATGCACACGACCTCAATATTGACCTAAATTTTTACTAGTTTGGTCCAAAGGCCGAAGTTCAAACAACTTCTTGATGAAGGCTTCATTTACTAAATAAAATATATCTTGATTAGTTTGCTAATATTCGAGCCGTTAAAAAATGATTAGGTAACAAAAATTTTGCATTGATCCAAAAAAAGATGAGTTTTGACTTGCGCACATTTGGTGTCAACTTGATCTATTCGATCCAATAAAGGGAAGGTATTATTCATGTGAGAGAAGAGTTGACCTTATCGAGTCACTACGAAGAAAACATAATAAAAATTCTTATTATGTATAGGAAAATGATTTGACCATTCAATAATCTTTTCTAAATTTGTTGTTTTTCCTTTTTTGTATTTTCTCTACTCTATTACATTTTAGATAAAATTTTTCCTTTCTATCATATTGCATAAGTTTTCAAGTTTTGTTGGATAGTTATATTTTACATTAGGGAAAATTTAGCCAGCAAGATATTTCATTCTATATATTCATGTTTAATAATTTTCTGCTCACTCAAGTCAAGTCTTATTCACTAGAGTTTCCATATTTTCTAGTTTGGGAAAGTTTATTTAGTAGCATTATCACTCTTAGCAATTGTATTTTCTTACTTAACTTTTGAATGGTCAATCTCACTCTTTAAATTGGGTTGTAAAATTAAGGTCAGCAGAATAATTCAGATCTAAGATATCACATACGAGTGACCGATACACTAATTAAAGAGTATAAAGAACAATTCAGATTAGTCATTACACTTTGAAACATATATTTTTGCTCCTTGTACTTTTAAAAAAATATCAATTTTGGTCTTTATTTGTAAAATTTTAACGGAAATTCTATACACAAATGGAAACCCTTTAATACAAATTTATGGCTACATCTCAAAAAATTTAGTGAATGAAGTGTCATGTTAAAATTTTAATTTAAAAAATGAGATAGAAATGAAATGAATGGATAAAAAATGATCACATTTTTAAAGTATAGGGACTAAAATAAACGTTTAAAAAATACATGAATTAAAATGAACAAATTTGAAACTACATAAGCGAATTATGTAGTCGTTTTAAATTACATGGAACGAGAGTCAAAACTACTAGGACCAAAAGAGTATTTATATTCACATTAATGACTAATTGATGATTATTATTTTTTTTGTTAAAATACTATTTTGGTCTTTGAACTTTTAAGCTCCGGTATATTTTAGTCCTCTTATATCAAAATATTCATTTCGATCCATATACTTTCAACTTTGATTCATTAATCCCTATATTTTCAAAAGGTTCACTTTATTAAGCTCCTGTAATTTAAAAAAAGTGACCATTTTGGTCTATATTTTTAAAAATTTTACCACAAATTCTACACACAATAGAAATCATTTAATATAAAGTCATAGTTATATTTTAATAAATATATTGAGTGTATTGTTGTGTTAAAATTGTGATAGAAAAAATGAGATAAAAATTAAAATTAGAAAATCAAAATAGTCACTTTTTTTAAAAGTAGACGGACCAAAATGAACCTTTCAAAAATAAATAAACTAAAATTAATCAAAGTTGAAAGCACAGTGAATAAAATGAATAAAAGATCATCTATCGATTGATCTCTAATATCGATACCGAACCCTCCAACTTACGGATATATCGATTGATGAACGTGCACGATGCCAAGTCATCCATGGCAATCATAATATGAGAGTGAAAGAAGAGGGCGTATCTGAAGACAGATCATGATGCTCCCATAATTGCGAGCAGTCATATTGGACATGACCCAACTTCAACTCTTTGATTGGCTTTCAACATTTTTCCTTTAACCAAAAGAAGAACCATTACTCAATTCCATGGACAGATATGACACTTCCACTCAGTCAAAGATGGTGTTTAGATTTTGTTTGTACTCAAAAAGCAATTATTAACCTTTATCATTTATCCTTATTTTATGTTCCATTCAATTACATATTTAGTCGCTGTCTCTATTGTTAAGCTAGCGTTTGATTTAGAATGACTAAGGATGATTTTGCTATCGAACAAGAGTCGGGTTGTATTCAGAGTGTATGTTATTTGTCTTTCATATGAGTTCATCGAGTATTTATAGTGTGGGGTGTTTTACTTTCTTTGTCCGCTATTGTGAATTTGCTTTTGATTAGATGTTTGAATGAGATAGTTGCGTAGCTCAAGCGATGTACCAACCAATTTATAGGTAAAACTAAAACGTGAGGAAGATGAAAAAGTATAGTTATTGTTTACATGTTTAGGATGAACAACTCCAACAGAAGAAGGGACGATGTAGAAGCACTTAATATAACTTTGTAAAACAGGCTAAGCAGATGATATGAATTAGGAGTAGAGCCATAAATTCTCTAGTTCAAGCGACATGCTTGTGGACAGATGGCATGACTAAGGTAAAGAGAAAATTTTAATATTTTAAGTTTCTATGTAATTTCTTAAAATCTCAAATGAACCAATCGGTGTCAATCGTCTCCTTTCTTCCTTCTTCTCTTTTCCTCAAACGTGAATCTTCACTACCTTAAGTAATTGCGATGTAGCTCAACCTAAAGGGTACTGATTGTATGCCCTTGGATAGATTGTGGAAGTGACCTATAACCCATCAATGAGATTCCCCACGTACAACCAGGACAATTAATTATAACTTTTTTTTTTTCGGTAAAGTAAACATAGAGGTAGGAGATCATTAAATCTTCAACCTCAAAAAAAGTAATCCACTCATTTATACTCAAATTGACAAATGACAATAATTAAAACTTATTCGAGTTTAGAGTTACATACACCAAATTTGTAATATAAACTATGTATATTATTTAAATCCATATAGATTGGTAATATTTTTTCTTAAATAAAAAGTAGTAATCTCTCTCTCTCATCACCTTTTTATTTGTCTGACATAATTCCCCAAAGAGTGGAAACTAAGTGAACTAAAATTAAAATTAAAAAAAAAAACACTTCCAAATTTAGGTAAAACAGTTAGGCCCTCTAAACCAATGGGGAAATTAGGAATTTAGGATGTGGCAATGCACTGCGGCTCCCAAAACACCACCGCCGCTCGCCGGACTTCCTTACAACTCCCATTTGAACTCATCACCACCGTCCTCTCTTCGTCCTCTGCTCCTTTGCTCTTCCACATCATCACCTTCCGGCTGCCATTCTTCGACGGCGGCAGGTTCCCAACTGCCCCGGCTCTCGACCTCCAGAAGTACTCGAATGTGTTCAACGACACCGCGCTCGGAGGCGGCCGCAGTGTCGGGCAGGGGATGATGGGGTGAGCCACCTTGGGGCGTGGTGGGAGTGATGGGTGCTGCCTGTTGGCTAAAACAATTGATTTGCTGCTCATCATTGATGCTAATGATCTGTGGGAATTCAGTAACCCAATTGGCATTTCTGGAGATTTTGCCATTCTTGAATCTTCATCTTCTTCCTCTTGCTCGGGTTCTTCCTCGGACTCGTCGTGTTCTTCGACCTGTGTTAAAAGAGGAGGATTAGAACATCAGCTTAAGTTTTTGAATTAGTAATTTAAAAGGTATTGAGATATGAAGTTTTCTACTCGAATTTTTTGTAAGGTAGTACTTATATTTAGCTTTTTGAATTAAGCGGTGATTACCTGTTTCATGGGATGACGGTTGACGAGAGTGAGAACAAGGCGGCCATCTTGACGTTGGGCGCGGAAGTTGTTCTGGAAAGGCACGTTCATGGCCTCGAGGACCAACCGGCCATTGTCACGGCGGGGCTGCATCCGCAACGATTCCCCGTCGGGACCGGAGAGCGAAGGCAGCGGCGGAGGAAATGACCGGCAGGGCTCCGATTTCTTATAGCTATACTTGACAGGCCTCCATTGATCCTGCAGAGCAAACATTCGAGCTCCCTCCTCGTCGTCGTCATCGGAATCTCCCTCCTCCTCCGACGAATACGACGAGAACCCATCGGAGCCGGTCTCGGAGCCGAGACTCTCAGTGCAAATCTCGAGGCTCTTTTCACTCAAACCGCTCGGCGATCGCTTCACAAGAGGATGAACATAAGGAGCAGCAATAACTTCATTACAAGAACCCCCCTTGTGAGATTTGAAAACAGAGCCCCAAACATCAGTCTCTGTTTCGGGCTCTGTTTTCTTGTTCCCTTCGCCAAATTCTTGAGAAGAAGCGACCTTCTTCATCTGGGAGATGCATTTGTGGGACGACATGTCGGCAGAGAGGGTTCTGCGGAGAGAAGAAGGCGTGGAGTCGGAGGAGAGAACAGAGACGATGCCCTGTTTGCTGTGAAAAGCTTGAAACATTCTTCAATGGTGGAGGAGAAAACAGAGCAACCAGCAGCGGTCTAGAGAGAAGACCACTGGAGGTGCAGAAGAGGGTTGGGTTTTGTTGTTGTGGCTGCTAAGAAGAAAGTGGGTATTTATAGTCCGCCATGGGAATCGAGTACGCCATGGGCCCCCACTAACGCCACCATGAAAATGACTCTGTCTCCGAGCTTCTTCTTTTCGCAGAAGAGATTATGGTTTTTTTTTTCTTTTTTTTTTTAATATATGAAAAGTTGAAGGGGAAAGGAGGGAAGCAAATATTTAGATGGGGATTTGCAAAGGACACCTTTGCGAAAAATGAAAGAAAGAAAAAAAAAATTTGCAAAGGACACCACAGCTACGGGTGAGTGAGGAGAAAAGTACAGGATAATTCCTCTCCTTTGGTTCGAGAAATTATTCTACGAGAACTGCACCAATGTAACTGGTAGGAAGGAAAATACACCGGTCTTGATAAAGATTTAAAAGATAAAAAGATAATAATAAAAGTTTATAACATAAGTGGACTACCTATTTTATTGTCAATTAGTTTTGAGATAGAATTCATAAGTATTGACATCTATTAATTAATTATTTTTAGATAGAACACAGGAATATTGACATCTACTAATTACTTTATTTTGAAAAATCGATAACTCATTATTTTAAAAAAAAAAATCTCTATTTTTATATTTCTTTCTCTTAATTGTCAAACTAATTAGTGGTCAGCCCAAGATATACGGCCTAAGTATAACAATAAACTATGAAAATATTTTGAATAGATATCTAATAGTTATTAAGAGGTACGTAGATTCTATTCTACTCCCACATTCAACAGTTTTTCATCCTTTAGTTCAGTCACGATTATACAAACTACATGTTTAAATTTCATTTGGGTTTATAAAATTGCAATATTTTTTTACTTTGGTAATCGTACCTCTAAAATATTCGTTTTGGTCGTGAACTTTTAGATTTATCTTATTCTGTCTCTTAAACTTGTTAAGGATCTCCCAAAATATCTATTTCAACCCCTCCAAACTTCTAGGTCCTCCAAACTTCTCGGTTTATTTTATTTTAGTTTTTCAATTACCTTTATAATATGTATTTAGTCCCTATCCTTTTTTATTTATTTCTAAAAAATGAATAATTTGTATTAACACATCGACATGGATATGTATTAGAGTTACATAGGTTGATTGATACGAGTATAAAATAAGAGATTTTATACGGTGGCAAATACAACACTACCAAAATTGTTGTCATTTGAAAATTTAAGGACAAAAGACCTTAACCAACATAAAAGTTTTTGAAAACTCAAATAAGATTTAAACTTAATTTATGTTATAGATAGGTAAAGATTTTAAAATTCTCTCCTATTTTTAGAACAAAAAAAATCAATATATATAAAAAAGTTAGAAGGTAAAATTTTATTTACATCAAAACTTTTAGCTCGGCCCCTACCGATCTGCAATTACACAACTCATCTCTCTCTCTTTCTTTCCTCTCATCATGTTCTTGGTTGAAGAAGGGGAATTATTTCCATCTATCCAAATTGGCTCATAAGATCTTTCGAATATTTTCATGTTGGAAAGTTTAAGATTTTCAGGTCGGTTTTCATGTTTATTTTTTCTTTTCAATTACAAGGATTCTTTAGGTTTAAATCATATTATGTTTTTGTACTTTTATTCTATTTTGAATTCTAAATTTTCAAAAATTGTGTTCTAATTTTGAAGTTTGGTGTAAAACACTATTTTGAAAATGGTTGATAAATCTCACAAAAAAAATAATGCTCGTCTAATGTATTATTGTTAATTATTTTTAAGTTAAAAACTAATCAAATATATTATATATAACTTTTTTTCAAATTATATTTTCTTTTTTAATTAAAAGTTAGTATTTTATATTAATTTTAATTGCATGTCTAATTTTTAGAAATATAGATTTGCTTTGTTATTAATAATTTAAAAGTTAAATTGATGCTAATACAAAATTCTAAAACGAAAATATGATATTTGAAAGTTGATAGGGTACAAATATAGGTTAAAGAATAAATACGAAAGGTAAGAAACTGAAATAGAATTTACACCGTACCCTATTTTTTAGTAACAATTTTTTGTTTTTTATTTTAAAATGTTAATGTCATTTTATTCAAATTCTCAAAATTGAAATAGATGTTTACAAAACTTTTTTTTAGTAGTACTTAATAACAATAAAAAACTAAATTATCCAAAAAAACTAAAAATAAATTAAATAGTTGTAAAGTTGAAACTAAACTAATTCTTACAATCATTGTCCAAGGATTTTCATGATTAATTATTATGTGTTATTGCCAAAGCAATATTTGAACCAAGGAATATAATCTTTATTATTATTATTTCTTTCTTTTGTTATTTCTTCACTTTTATTCCTTTTATGATATAAAAGGAAATTCAATTTTGTATTAATTCCCTTCGATTTTTGGAAATATTCTCTTGAATAAATAATACATGTTACTAGACAAATTTGTGTTACAATCAATTAACCCAAAAAGAAAAGTGGTGGACAACTACTAATCTTAGTTCATCAACTTGCATTTCGAGAACATACCCTTTTTTTCCCTTGCAATTCAAATCATCTGTCAATGAGGTTATTACTGTTTTAATTAAGTTACTAAGTCGACAATAGTTCAACATATATATTCGGTCAAATATAATTTAAACTAGAAGTAAAAATTTAAATTTGTTGGCGGCCCCTTGGTATCTAAACACACTACTTGAATTGAAGAGATAAATCTGTCCTTAAAAAGTTATCCAAACATAAGAACGGCTTCAAGTCGTATGTTTAACTATGGAGTTCCTCGTGAATGAACCATGCATCAAAGATACACTTTGTTCTACAGTAACTTTTAATTATTCTAACTCTTTCTTAACCTGTTTTGTATAGTCACACGATTTTTCTTCTTCCTATGTACTGTGCTAGTTAATTCATATATATCCTTTTCAGATAAAAAATTTGGCCTAGTTTTGATGCATAGGAATCAAAGGTGATTGACAAAATAATGATTCTTAATGAACATCCAAATTTTGTTTGATGTTCAAAGTTCAAAATGGAGGGATAAATATTTAGCATTGAGCTAACTACAAATGTAACCTAATAAAGATACAAAACTGCTAGTAACAATACACACCAAATCTAATTTCAACCTAATTCAACTCGAAGATCACAGATTTGAATAATCCCCTCACCTTTTTGTTGTACTCAATAAAAAAAATAAAAACTTCAACCTCAACCAATTATTATTATGATTACCTCAAATAACATTCAAGTCTATCATCAATTATAAATCATTATACATCAATCGAGTCAACATGAACATAGTTCAGCGATAATTGACATATAATTCTTCCTTCGAAATCATGTTCAACCTCCTATATCCCCAAATTATTATACTAAAACAAATACACACATCAATCGACGATAAACCATACTATTACCATCCTAAATAAAGATAGAATGAATTCATTAATTACTTGCTACATGATATTTAATAATAATAAAAATTTAAAAATGGGACCCACCCAATAAAAAGTCTCCCTTTTTGGCTTGATTGATTGAATGAAGTGGGAGGGTGAGGAGGAGGTTGAAAAGTAAGAATAAAAAGGAAAAAGGGTGAGAGGCCAATGGAGAGTATGAATGGCTTAAGAAACTTAAGAGAACATGTTCTATGTACAAGTATATACATGGTATTTGATCTCATCCAAATGTAATTATTTCATCCCAAATAGCCAAAACAATGTTACTTTGAGAGAGTGGGCATAAAGATTTGCATCACCTTTTTCTTTTAACTTTCATATACCTTAGGATATAAATTCAGATTTTGACGTATGTCTCACAAAGTTCTCGTTGGCTGATGCTATATTTGGGAGTATTTTTAATCACAACAAAAGTGCTTTTAAAGAGTTAAAAACACTTTTTACTCAAATATTTCTGTCTAAACTTTAATATATAGTTAGGTTGGTCAAGACATTAGTACTATCTTTAGTTATAAGTTAATTCTTACTCCTTATTTGATTTATAACACTAAAAAGTGAAAAAAAAATTATAAGCTTATGTTAGGGCTACAATTTAGAATTTTTTTTTTTTTCTAAAGGTAGTTAAATATGTCTTTAGTAGACATCTATAATATATTAAAATTGAAAAATATTGGAAAAATATTTTTAGACATGTGTCCTTTCTTTAATTTATTAATTTATTAATTTATTAATTTACAGAGTATGTCATTGACAATTAAAGTAAATTAATTACAAATGTTGTAAATAAAGAACAATTAATTATAAATATTAAATTAATTAAATCTAAAAATTTAAAAAGCAAAAGGTTTTTCCTACACACAAGTATGATATGCTTTAATTATAATTCATAATAGAATTTCAAAACTTTTTTGTAACTTTCCATTCTCTATCCCTAGAAATAGGTTTTCTTCCACCATTTTATTCACCAATAATTAGAGCTTCATTCTTTCTCTATTTTATTTCTCTCAATTTGTGTCTCTCAAACACTCTTCAACTTTGAGAGCATCTCAAGAATTTATTGACAGATTTAAGTTATAAGGAATGTACGTGTTCAAATCTATATCTTAGCGGATCATTGACTTTGGATGTTAAAATAATTTTACTTTTTAGGTTAGAAACTTGTGTTTGTGAAGTAATTATTAATTAAGTAGATTTACTTATAGATCGAATCTATAGCTATAGATCTTGGATTTTTGTTTTTGTTACAGTTGTTTTTTATTGTTATTTTATAATTATGGTATTTTTTATTTTAAATATTTGTCGAAAAACCAATAACTTATTAATGTCATTTTTGTTGCAAAAAGAAAACCCACACACATATATTGTAATAATAATGTGAGCTAATACCTCACAAAGTTTTTATTAATTATAAATAGTAAATTAATTAATCATCATAATTTATATGAAGTCTAAAAAGTCGGAACTTTCAAGAATTTAAACAATTTCCCTTTAATAATTAATATAAAACCAAATTAGTAAAATAATTTCATATGTTAAATATATAACAAAAGAGTTAGCATGCAATCTTTAAA